CTCGCCCCGGGCAAACATGCAAACGATACTCGATTCGGCCCTCTCACACGTGCTCGTTCATTTCTCATACAGATCCAGTGCTGGATAAGTGACACCTCATTTGCCTAGACGTATTTCCCTCTACGTTCGAACATCCGACAATGCACCGTGAAGAAACGGCGACACGGCAGATCATCCACAGCACTCGTCATGTCCAAATTAGCTTAATCTAGTTTCGACTATTTTTATCGTGCCAAGTCCATCCGCTCCACTGCATGACCCATCCTGGTTTTTTCCATTGGAATACTGGTGGAAGTACTCCTATCAATAATTTGTAGCATCCTACCTGAAGGCAAGGGAAACCACCCGACGGAGAGTGCCATATAAGGAGATAACCATGCCCTAATGTACAGGAATATAGTAACTGCCAAGGGTCGTAGTACGCTACTCGGCACGGGACCAGACACAATCTATATTCTCATCCGACTGGTCTATCTCCACCGTGCACCAGTTGCTAGAAACATTCGTTTCCATTTTATTCCCTCTTCATTTGTTGAGTCATGCCGTTTCTAGTGCGCCCCTATGATTTCGCTTCGCTGTTCTACTAATCGGGCCATCTTCTTATATAAAAGACGCTTTTGTTGGAGCGCTTTATATAGGGCCTCATGTTGTCGAGATGTTACGAGGTTTTTCGATAGTCCAGTCCAGTCCAGTTATCCTATCATTTCGCCGTTTTGCCTCCTACTGCATAATCCAACATTCATTGGGCCCGGTGGGTCATCACAAGGGGCGGAGCCAAACTGGAGAATGACGCAGTACCGGTACCGTTGAATATCAACTATTGGATACCCCGTGCCTCATCCATCTACTCTATCGAGGAACTACGAGCGACTACCCGAATGGACCTTGCACATCAATATGTGGATAAGAAATAAACCATCTCGTTATGATTCAATCTATTCGTAGCCCTCCATGCTAGAGCCCTGCTCAAACACCAGCTACACCGACCACCTAGCATCCATCTAGGAGCAGTTCGATCCGCCATAAACGAAAGTTCCGTCAGAGTTCTCACAGCCACAGGTGCCATCATCAGGGCTCTTAATGCATCCGGTGCCGACACCGGATGACTCTCCGTTATTGCTGCAGAACAATTTGTCAGTATGCAAGGCCCCGAGCTACACACATCTACATGTGTCGGAAAATAGCCAGGGGGACTTACTTCCAGAAGAAAGTCCAGCAGTCGTCATCCGAGTCGGTCATCTCAGAGGATGTGGGCGCGGTGCAGGTGTACGCCTTGCAGGTTCCGTAGGGAGCACCGTGGGAGGAGTCATACTGGTGGTCCGTGGTGAAGACGGCGAAGGTTTGAGTTCCTATCCAAACATTAGAATAGGTTGGGTCGGCAATCCAAGTAGGGGGAGTCACATACCAGAGGTTCTGGTGTTGTGGGAGCATTCAGCAGCCTGAATGGCGTTGGAGGTCTTGGCAGCTGTGTAGTATAGTTAGTATTTGGCACTGTATATTCGTACAGCATTCCGCAGACGAGAACGTACGAGAACACTTGACAGTGCCAGGGCACTTTCCCTTGGTGTTCGACGACGCCGGGTCGAGGGTAGCGGCCGCCAGGGACGCGCTGAGAACGAGAGCGAAGAGGGAAGAGGCAGAGACCATTTTGAAAGCTTGACGTTGGAGAGTGTTGAGGATAACGGTAACAGGAACGGGGAGGAACTTGCAGCTCTTTTATGTCTGGCGGGGAGAGGCTTTGCGCATAGCCTGCGTCGTCCTTTCTATTAAACTAAGTCATGATGAAACTACGGGGTATCGCCGGTTTCAAGAGAGTGGATCAAACCGATTGTTCTAGAACTGGGTTAAATCCCGAAAGCCTCCCGGAAGATGAGAATTAGGAGAGCTTGATTTAATTAAAGAAGGTCCACTTCCAGCCGTCGCTGACACGGCTGATTTACGGAGCGGTCGAGATAGATAGTCAGGCCACGCAGGACTAAATGCAACAGGGTGATCGACGTAGTCTAATTTGCGAGGGCCGAATCGGGTTGCTGTTGAATACAGGATTTATCACCTTGTCTATGTTTTGGGGAAGGGGCTATGAATGAAGTCAGCCCTAGGCTTGATAGATGTAATGGGATATCCTGCCATACAAGCCCCATAGCGTCAGAGCTACCCCGGCGACTGACGTCTCTTCAGCCACCACTCCATACCGCGCATCTCCAATCAATATCCAGAACGGCTAGAAGAAGACTTTCCATGCAATGTATGTTTCATGCGTGCAGTGCCACCGGATGGCTAAAATATTACTGGCGGGGACGGCCGAAGCTGGCCCACATCCACCGTGCTTCAGCCGGGATGTCTTCGGGATAATTAGAAAATAGTGAACAAGAAGAGTGAACCAACCTAACACTTCGAGATGCATTTGACTAGGGATGACTCTACACGACAAGGATCACGAATTAGCTGGCCACGTCACGCTACATATCCCCGCAAAAGGACCGTGAGGCAAATGTGTAAAATATGAGATAGGCTCGGTGAACTGCGGAGGCATTAGAATGGGGCAATCGATTGAATTCTTTGTCAAGCAACTTCACTATTGCCTTTTGAGGATATTGTTGCATCACTGCTGAACTCTAGTGGTGGTTTACGTTGCAGTATCAATCTGTTCAAGTTGCGATTCAGCCCTACTCAGCATTGACAGTCCAACTTATTATTGATACAACTTTCGAACGGACCATCTGTGTGACTACCAAACGAGGTTATGATTTGGCAAATAAAAATCCCTGGTCATCTTCCTCGCCTGGCTCGTCGGTACGCCCTTGGGTTCGGCAATCGACGAGATCACAGGCCGGATACGCCCCTGCATTGGGATGAGTTGGAGATGGGATGTGCTGAGTTTCGCACGTGCTTAACAACAATAAGTTGTCCAGTCGCCACGATAACGGTTGGGAATGCCGAGTCGTTCAATGTGCCTACAATGGAGAAGATATGGCAAAGGCTATTCCACCCGGAGGGCTATTACTCGCCAGGCAGTCAATCTTCTGAGACATCTTCATAAGTTAAGGAAACATAGGACTTAGTTAGTATATGAGCTTTTTAGTTGGAATTCGCTTAGTTACAGTCCCTCACCAGCCGTTACCATTGGCCTTCTTTGGCCATGATCTTCGGGGTATCATTATGAAAGAGGTATATTAGATTTGGACGATATAAAAGGCTGCTAGCGAATGCGAATGTAGGCGTTGATCTTAGCTAGTCGGCATTATAGTTAGTACACTGATATTCGGCGCTCCACTAGACTCCTAGTAAGCGGCTCCCCGCCAATCTGTTTTCCTTTGTTTGTTCTGACACTATTCTTATATGCGCAGATGTTCCTTGGGTGTCCACAGAGATGGCGAAGTGTTAACCAGCGGGAAAGAAATATCTCGAGATTCTTACTGCTGACCACGCCAAACACACCATCCGTCATATGCAGCATCTGCTTAGGTCGATTCGTGCTATAAGCGACGATTTCCTACCCCCCTGGGTGCTGAATCGAGCAAATGTGACCAATGCATACTCTACATCGAAGAACATCAACGACAAGGTGGGTAATTTTGTTTCTGCACTAGGATCATCACTAACGTATGGCTGAGACCTTTGACATATCGACACAATCGTTCTATATCCCGTTTGAAATGCGGGGGTTGCAATTGACAAGCCTCACAAGGGCCTTGATTGTCCGCCACGTGCTACTGGTTTTTACGGCATTGCGGGTATCATAATGAAGTGAGTGACAGAGTGTGAGTGAGCTTAACAACTATCCATTTTTCTTTTTTTTTTTTTTTTTTTTTCCGTGTAACGCAGTTCCTTGGCTTAATGACGAGATCGGCCCATTCGTTGATGTGGTCGAAGTGCTGGCGCCCCATATCTATCCCCAAAGGGCAATCTTGAGTACAGAACATAGCTTCAGCTGGCTGGCCGATAACATGATCTTCGAGAAGTGGCGCAACGACCCAGCTCCATCGATCCTACACATCTACGGTTCTTCAAACATCACAGCGGCCGCCGAGTATGTGTTTCAAGACGACACGTTGGACTTTAGCCCCATTCTGGATCTCAAATTTCACAGCACGATGCACGTCAAAGCACTGTTGGAGCCATGGCGAACACCTTTGTCTGTCAGACTCTAAGCCAGGTCAGGAGCTCGCCAGATTCCCTTATCGGGAAATTTTTGCCGCCGAGCTTTGCCGATTGTTGGACCGATCGGGGCTCTTTTACCTTGAGCATCTCAAGATAAGCATCAGCTGTCACCGTCGAGTTGAATGGTTTATCGACGGTATAGACGAGTGTGATTGTGATCATCCAGCCCGACTGAGATCCATGATCTCGGGTCTGATCACACGCTCCGAGTAGTATTTTATAGTCGTCGTTACTTGTGTTGATAGAAAGTGATTTCGCAAAGCTCTGTCGAAATTTCTAGAGATTGACGCAGGGAAATTCAGAGCTGAAAGAAGTAACAATTCCCAAGACCGGCTGAGTGATATAATTCAAGATACTTTTCAACTGCAGCCCTTTGCACCTGCCATTCGGAATATGCTGGAATGATGAGCTGTTGCCTGATTTACTGCTTGCTGACTTGGGTTCGATTTGACCCGGTGCTATGGACGAGCCAATGGTGGTACCAAAGCATCCATAATGGATGCCTCCCCTCCGCAGAGCGAATAGTGAAGCTCGTTCTAGGAAGAATTCCCGTGGCTAGACAAGACCGGGCTCGGAGGCTTATCCACCCTTTTGACACCGGAGCAGTTCCGATATACAGTGCACTGGACGACTAACTTGAAGGAATATCTTTCGAATTGCAGTCTATCGACCTCTGGAAGGAGATGATTGAGTTCTTCACGGACGTCCACTGAGTAATAAGATATTCTTGTATTACTCTTCATCGCATCTATGTCAACGAGCAGTAGCAGTAGTGTGGAGCATAACAAGTAAGCCTTCGCTGGTCAAGAAACTTTTGAAAGTCAAAGTGGCAACAATTCGCCCCTATAGCTCAGTGGTAGAGCGCTTCACTGTAAGTTGATTGGCTGAGAATCGCCGACTGAATCATAAATATTGACCTTAATAGCGTAGTGTACTTGAACGTGCTATGAAGAGGTCCATCGTTCGAACCGGTGTGGGGGCACTGCCCATCTTTTTCTTTTTCTTCTTTTCCTTTTCCTCCCCCCCACCCTGAACGCTGACCATCAAGTTGAATGTCAAAACCTATGGGAATAGAAATCAAATGTATTCTCTACCTAGATTGATAATCACCACTGCTGTCCAGGAATATACTTCTCGAGCCGCAAATCAGGCTTATTCGCAAAGAAAGCTGTCGCTCCCGCAGGCACTCGATCATTCTCGATGTACAACACCCGTTCGGGACCCTTGAAGATACTGATGACCCCGAATCCTTCACTGCGAGACCACAGGGGAAAGACCGCGACGGAGTCTTGATCCTTTGTGTGAGGGGCAAGCGTCTTTTTAGTTGCGGGACCATTGAACGTCTGCCAGCGCTATATTAGTCCCACACCAGGGGACATGGGAAAGGAAAGACACGTACCGTCGTGCCGAATTGCACTCCAGCCCCGGTGGCCGATGCATTCAACCCGATGTCTGACAACATGCGATTCGGGCGGTACTTCGAGACCACAACGGTTATCTCTTCGGAATGTTGGTTTACTACGCGGATGCAGGGCGGGATGCTCTTCGTTGTTCGGACGATGGCTCCGAAAAGACCCTATTGAGCGGATTAACGTCTATTGGATTGGAAGAAAGTCGATCAGTGGAGTTTCCTACCTTGGATACAGAATCAAGAGGATAGGCTAGAGCATCTGCCCACTCTACCACGGTTTCGGGCTCCGGAAGCTCTGCGGCGCAGATGCATGTACGCGGCAGTTCGTCCAGGGCATCGTAGAAGAGTGTTTCGTTGCAGGAATCGTCGCTGGGATCACCGGCCCCGCTTGCTATCGGCGGGCTCTCGCCCTTCGGATGGAGGGTGAAGGGGACGTGAACCACATCATACCGGTGAGCTTCTGCCTTGACAAACTCGGTTGCGTCACGTAGGACATCGACGTCCAGGTTGACCGATTCCACCAAGTAATTCAGACTGATTGGACGATTCGAAACAAAAACCACAAACCGCTCTTCTACCGGCAGGTCGTTGGAAACCCCCTTTGGCCAGCACACTTCCGAGCCGATGAGCTCATCGAAGGAATTGGTTCCGAGGGTAATGTCGTAGTCCGGGGGGAGCTCGATGCCCAGGGGCCAGGCTGAGGTCACGGATGAGACAGCGCCGGCGACATTGATGTTCAACACGGCTGCATAGATGTGGTTGCCTCCGGCGTTCTCAAGGCGTATGTAGATCGATTCTCCTTCGGTGATGCCATCGCTGCCTTTCATCTGGAAGTTGACCTTCGGTTCTCCATCCTCAACGGTCCCAATTGTTACTTGCAAGTTATGCATCAAGAGGTCCTGTCGCCTTTCACACCGTAGGGTACGCACGCGCTTCGCCCGGGCCAGCCTCTCTGCATCCGCAATAATATCACTGAACGCATGTGACGCTGCTTCTTCAGTGCTGTTGAGTGAGCGTGATCGGATTCGCACGCCTTGATGATTGATGAGTGCAATAGAGCCCTCCTCATGCCGGAACTCAGCGAATGGTGGCGCCTTGTCCTCCGCGCTGTGAGACCGGAGATATCTCGATTCTTCCACGCCCGCTTGCAGACCCTCTAAATTCGAAGGCACAGCCACAGGCGCCTTGTCGAAAACGTCATGCTTCAGGAACGCCAGTGCACCCTCGCGCCGTATACTCTTCCACGCTGGCACGCGAGTCAGCTTAGCCTTGGACTTGAACGCCGCAACACCAGTAACGGTTGCCTCCACGATCGGCTCTCCCGCCTCTGCCTCGTCCGGATCAAAGGGGACAACGGTGTACACATTCCCCTTGCTCACTCCGACCACACTCCCAGCATCAATGATAGCCCCACCGTCCTCGATCCGAACATACAACGCCCCAGACCTCACATGCTGCAGCGAAAACTGCGCCCGCGTATCCGGCCCCTCAACCTGCGGATGCTGCCACTGATGCCTAGTATTAACCAGCTGCGACACCCTCACAAGCGTCGTCCTCCACGAAACATCAACCCCATCCGTCTCCTCCATCGCCCTCGCCAACGCATCCGTCAACGCTCCGGACCACTTCCCACTAGCATTCAAATGCTCACAGGCACTCTCCGCCGTAGCAGCAGCAGCAATCCTCACCGCATGCGGATTCCCCAACTGAAACACCTCCCCATGAAAATACCCCTTCGCCCGCAGCCCCTTCAAATAAAGATTCAAATCATGAAACTGCACCTTATCTAGACTCTTCCGGCGTACAGGCTCCTGATCCCCGGCCCCATCCCTGAACATCCGCCCAGAATGACAACAGTCGATAATAATAGTCACATTCCGGGTTTTCTCCGTCGTATCCCTCAGCAAATACGAGATCTCGATGTCGAGGATTCCCCTGAAATCCTCGGGGGTCGATTGATCGTAGTCGACCGGGACTAGGAACTGGAATTGCCAGGACTTGCCCTTTTCCTTGCGGTCTTCGTCGTGGACGAGGGCGCCGTGACCGGAGTAGAAGATTACGACAGCGTCGCCGGGGGAGGTAGCGGCGATTAGCCTTTGCCAGGAGGAGAGGATGCCGGCACGGGTGGCGTCCTCATTGTAGCAAGGGTATATCTCGAAGCCGCGTTTCGTGAGGAGGTCCTCCATTGTTTTGGCGTCGTTGATGGTGCCGTTTAGGCCGCCGAATGTGCTGGCGATCAGGAGGGCTCGTCTGGTTGAGGACATTTTGATGGCAGTGGGTGAAGCTTTGGGGTCTAATATCGTTAATAGAGTGGTTTGGACGAGAGGGATCAGCTGGGTGCGAGGTGATATGGGGGTTTTTTTGTTCTGCTTTTTAATAAATTCTTTGTACGTAGGGCAACAGTATGGGATAACGCCACCCACCATTCGCAGCCAACACGGAAAGGCGAACAGTTGGTATTGATAGGGATAGAATCCTTCTTGCGAGTGACAAGTATCAGGCATTTATGCAGTGGCTCTAACGACTAGTTACAGCTGCAAGTCGCCATACATACCAATTGATTTCGAGAAGTGACCGCGATCGACATGATGCCAGTTAGAGATAGTCCCACGGGACAAAGATGGACAGAGCAGAAAAATCAGAGAAAGAGAAGGTATGATGTACACGGTTTGACCAAAGAGATAGTCTGCTAGCGAAACGACAATTGGGGGGCAATTCAGGGTCACCTTACCGGTTCGATTGTAGGAACGGTGGGTGGATGCGATCAACGATGCAGGGCAACGTTATAGCACGAGATTACGCATACAATCATGATTTCTACCGAACAGTAAATGAAGCATCAGACGACATCTTCCGTATAGAATACTATGTACCCTCGATATTACTTCCATGATGGATGTGTAAAAGATCGACAACTGATTGGGTACCATTGCATACCATGTCCTATATGAGCTGGGAAGCGTCCCAAGTGGGTGGACCGCTGGCCTTTGGGTCCCCGCAAGATATGATGCATCATACTGCATTGCATCACACTGCGTATGGATGACGGCGGTTGGCGGATAATCCCGGATCAATGGACAGGTATGTAGGGCTGATAGGAGGGCTTCATTTGTTCAATGTGGATCGGAAATCACGAAAGGATTGGCAGTTGGATAACTATTCCCACAGTAATATCACTACTTGATTGGTGATAATCACACGGGCTCAGTTATTATATCACAGGATTAAACGCCCTTTGTTGTGAGGCAAATATATATATATAAAGGGTGATGCTTGCTCCCCTTGAGCTTACATGCCAAAGAATAAGAAACGGACAGAACCAGTGATTGCCATCAGGCCAATGGTGTATAGGCCAAAGACCAAATGACAGGTATAAGAGGAAAAAACCGGTTTTTCAGACGTCTGTTTGGTAAATAATACCTCGAGATACCATGATTCTGCTGCTTTCAATCTATGCCCGCGGCACTAATGGGATATTAGGCCCTTTTCTTGGGGAGGCACTCAGTGATAGCGTTGGAAAACGCATTCAGAACAGCCACTGATCTAGTCTGAACATCAGTCTAGAAGCTGTACGTGAACGTCGAACCGTTCTGCATATGAGGAACGCCGCACTGTAAACTTCGAACCCCCCTGCATCTAAGTCACTGCGCTTTTCATAATCTCGACAACTTCTTGGGTGCCCGTCCACTCTGCCGACACCGGAGTAGAGTTATACGACTCGGTAGTGTCGACCTCGCGCGCTGGCATGGACAAGTTCCTCACCTCCTGGTCTCAAGTATCAAGCGTGTCGTCGTTCGGGACCGACAACCGGGTATAGGAACGCCACGCATCATTCTCGCTATTGCTGAGCGGTACATGGTAGGATGTGTGCCGTCCAGTAATCTTAAAGCCGTGGCTCCTCAGCGCATCAGCCTCCAAAGACGGAGATGCATCGAAGTTTGACAACGATATGCACTCATCCTCAGCAGTGAACCCAATGCTATACCCTCTGTGAAAATACGGAGCAAACCTCACCGGACCATGAACACCGTTGCAAGCCCCGAGTAGCACTGCGCGCTATCAAACTCTAGCACCTTTCGTTTTGTTTCTTTTCAACCCAGAAAGATAGTCAACCCAGTGATAACCCCCGGGGGTTAATTACCACAGCTCCATACCGGGGGTTAGGTGTCGACACCACCCATCACCTGGGTCACCGGTACCATCTTTCTTATAACTTGAAGGACGGTAAATGGACACGAAAAATTAGTATACGAAGGAACAAAAAGGGTAAATCTTGCATTCTCTTACCGGGAATTCCCAACTGCATGCTGCAAACTTTGTTCTTACGGAATTTCCAAAGGACTCTCCACTTCCATATACACGGAAAGGTTCAGAACCACAATCCGAACCCGCGCATGTTAGAGTTAATGATCCATTGTTTTAAACGATTTGTATCTCCCTTTGTGGGAAATTCTGCAATACTTCACATAATTAGTTAGATAAGCAGTAGTTACTGGTTTTGATTTTTCTATTAGCTTACGCCTCTGCGTCGCACCCATAGACGGCCAATCGGTTTTTGGGAGTCGGCTGTT